GTAAGTGGTGTGACGTAGCTTTGGCACAGGTTATCGCATACTGTAGCTTAACTTCATTTATCAATAGTCTTAGGCTTTGGGCCACTGGTTTCCTACTATCGTGATTGAAACCCAGCTGATTTAACAGATCATATATCTTACCCCTAGGCCATCGTCGCACGGCAGAAAGGAAGGGAATTTTAACATTTTTCTCTCTGCGAAATACGCCAGCGGCTCGGAGAACTCAATTCGTACTTGAAGAGTAATGCTTAATAGCAGTAGGAGCCGTTGTTTTTAAAACCTCCTTTCCCTAGAGAGCTCAACCGGATTTCCGGAAGCATATATAGTCATCCACAGTCAGACTGTTTCGCTGTATCACAGCTCCACAGTGTGGCGAGACGTCCGATTGCTTCAAACTGGGATCGAAACGCGACTGTTTTGACATCAGATATCTTACACCTAGGCCGTTGTCGCAAGGGAATTTTAACGTTTTAAAGGAAGGTAATTTGAAAGTTTTTTTTCTCTATACGAAATACGCTAGCGGCTCGGAGAACTCAATTCATTCTTGAAGAGTAATGCATAATAGCAGTAGAAATCGTTGTTTGGGAGTCAAGCTGTACTGTAGGCATAGGTCTCAGAAATGTTGGCTAAAAGTCTTGAGGTTGAGTTGTACATCAAGTCGAATTCTACGCCGCGATTTATGGTGGCTTGTTTTATAAATTTCTAGAATTAGAATTTGTCTGTTATTTATTTATTTGTTTGTTTAATGGACCCACTAAACTTTCTTTTCTTTTTTTTAAAAAAAAATCGAAATATTTGTGGTTTTTTTTTTTCCATATCATGGCTTCTCTAAAAATGATATCAAAATTAAAATAAAATTGATATTATTGTCTCAATTTATAGCAGACATTTTTTTTTTTTTGGTACTGAAATTTTTTTATATTCTTTTTCTTATTTTTTGTAACCTGTGATTGCTTGTAGCATTTTTTGGATAAATTGAAAAAAAATGATGTGTTTTTTTTTTGTTCTTTTTTGATTAGCAACTCATTTTACGGTTTGCACCAAGAGACAGATCCTCTCTGCTTCTACGGAGGTTCCCTTATGTCTGCTAAAAAGAGCGATGAAGAAAAAGAAATTAATTAGACAAAATGATTTTCAAAATTTGGGATAATACATCGTCAAATATTTCTTCTTTTTTTTTTTTAAAACTTTGAAATCAGAAGAGACTGCTTTTTCTCAGTATAGTTTATTTTAATTTGAAATCGTATGACATTCATTTTCTAGCCCCGTCATTAAAAAAAAAACAAAACAAAAAAAACATTTAAAAATTAATATAAAATACAAAATGAAACAAAAAAATAGTCGGAAAGAAAATATGGATAATTCACATAGGTACACCAATACATCCGGGTCTTCAATAACAGAGCATTTGTTAAACAACCTTTAAATTAAGCGGTTCCATAACGATGACATTTTGTCAGTTTTCATGAAGGAACATTCAGGCTTCATGAAGGATTATTCAGTCCTTGAGTCACACACACACACACACACATATATATATATATATATATATATATATATATATGAAGAAAAATATATACGGAAAAAACAAAACAAAAATCCTTATATACAATTAGGCTGTTTTAATGTTAATATGTCAACGTCTGACGTTTCGGTCTAATAAACCATCTTCAGGACATATTCATAAATTATAACATTATCAATACAACATGACAAAGACGATGTACATAAAAACAAGACTTATCCAAACAAATAACTGAAATACTCAAAATTTTAGGAATACGTTTTCACAGCGTCGCCCACGTGACGACAACGTGACCATGTTTTAAACAGAGCGCTGATATTATAAAACTTTCAGTTATTTGTTTTAAATGTCTTAAAATAATTGTTGGACTTTGTCCATTTCATTATATATATATATATTAAACTGATTTAAAATATGTTTTTTTCGCTACACAGTTCTTACATTTTTGAAACATGGTTAGAAATGTGTAGCGAAAAAAAACATATTTTAAATCCGTTAATTTATAATATTAACGCTCTGAAAATTTACATTGAGCACTATTTTGTAAAAATATAAATATCTATAATAACACCGGATTATATATTTTACTGTTCTTTCTTTATATATATATATATATATATATATATATATATATATATATATATATATATATATATATATATATATAAGATGCGAGTGTACAGGAAGGATATATGGACGCTGATAATTTTAAAATAATGTTTTATTTTATTTAATATATTTTGTGTATATAATCCAGCCGATTTCATTTAGATTCTTTTGATCTTTCTTTTTACGTCTTCCTTACTTTGGCTGTGAAATATTTTACAATCCATAATAGAAGCATCCCGCCATTCTTGTCAGATCTTCTCTCATCCCAATATAAAGTGATGGGCACATCAACAACCAAAAGAAGAGTCATAATGAAATCGGTTAGATTATATGCACAAAAAACATATATTAACTATTTAAAAAAAAAAATTAAATTAAAAATTCTCCTCTCTCCGACTTTTTTCGTCCGCCTGTGTAGTCGCCTCAATATAAACATAAATCAGATGTCATATTTCTGTCCCATAAATCGTTCTTGATATATCGTCTTCACACACACACACACACACACACATATATATATATATATATTTCAAAATGATATTCATATATATATATATATATATATATATATATATATATATATATATATATATATATTTCAAAAATTATATCTATATATATTCAAAATAATATCTATATATATTCAAAAAATTATATATATATATACATATACAAAAATATATATATATATATATATATTAAAAATTATATCTATATATATTCAAAAATAATATCTATATATATTCAAAAATTATATATATATACATATACAAAATTATATATATATATATATTCAAAAATTATATATATATTAAAAATTATATATATTTATTTAAAAATTATATATTATAATTAAATATATGTATATTCAAAAATTATATATATATATATTAAAAAATTATATATATATATATATATATATTCAAAAATTATATCCATATATATTCAAAAATTATACATATATATAAAAATTATATATATATATACATATTCAAAAAATTATATATATATATATATATTCAAAATTATATATTTATATTCAAAAAATTATATATATATATATATTTATATATATTCAAAATTATATATTATAAATTATTTTATATATATATATATATATATTCAAAATTATATATATATATATATTTCAAAAATCATATATATATATATATATATTAAAAAAATTATATATATATATATATATATATATATATATATATTCACAAATTATATATATATATATATATATATATATATATATGAACATAAAAATGTCTTAAAATTATCTTAAAATATTTGTTGGACTTATATATATATATATATATATATGTGTGTGTGTGTGTGTGTGTGTGTGTGCGTGTGTGTGTATGTGTGTGTATTAAATTATTAAAAAATATCATTCTATCGCGACACGTAAATCTGTTTAATTTTAAAAATCTCATATATATATATATATATATATATATATATATATATATATATATATTATATTATTTCTTAAAAATATGTTTCATGATTCCACCGTGACAGAGAACATCCTATGTTTCAAAACGGAAAACTCAAAAATCAAGATTAATTTTAAAAATTAAATCTGCAATACAGAGCTTCGTTCCATTATCAAGCGATTTTAGAACTTTTATATTAAGATCTTTGGATCGAATTGTATACTGTCTTTTAAAAATAAAAATAAAAGCTAAGAACACTGAATTATAAATATCACTGTTCTTTCCTATATATATATATATATATATATATATATATATATATATATATATATATATATATTATCTTAAAAAAATATATGACAATATTACCAAGGTACTGCGGACATTCAGGCTGGTTTGTTTAAAACCGACCATGAAGAAAGTGAGACTGAAGTTGTGAAAAAGGAGAAAAGTAAGGGGTAGAAAGAGAAGTAGAGGGAGAAAGGCATAAACAAAGGAAATAGAGAGAAAAGGAGATAAGATGGTGGGGGAAAAGAGAGAAAGAAAGGGAAATAAAAATGAGGAAAAAAGAGAGGGCCAGAGAGAGAGAGAGGGGGTGGCGGATAGAGAAGCTATTAATGGGAGAGGATAACGAGAGAAAGAAAGAGGGTGAAAATAAGATATGACAAGAGGAAGAGGGAAAGAAAGAGGAGTGGGAGTGGAAAAGTGGAGAAAAGAAAGAGACTAGGCGAGAGGGTGAGGGAGAGAGCAATAACAACAACAACAACAATAATAATAATAATAACAACAACAACAATAATAATAATAATAATAATAATAATAATACCAAGAGAAGGAAACAGAGAAATTATTGTAGATAAGAGAGTGGAGAAAAGAATGAGGAAAGGCAGGAGAGAAGAAATAGTGAGAAAAGAGAGGACAGAAAAGAGAGGGGAAAGGGAGCAGAGAGGAAATAGTAAGTAAAGAGAGTACAGGAAAGAGAGAGCGTGTAAGGGGAAACGAAAACGAGGTTGGGAAAGAAAGACAATCAATCAAAGAGAGAGTGGAAGTGGAAGACTATAAAAGAGAAGTTAAAAAGAGAGGAGATAAGAGAGAGGGAGAAAGGGAGAGAGAGAAAAAGAATGGAAATAAATGAAAACCTGAAGAAAAAAATAAGGGAAAGATGTCACAATTTCTACCCGAAGCTGAGACCGTCAACAAATTCGTCAAATATTTTCGCTTACTGAGCGTCGAAAACATGGAATGCCACGACAAGCAAAAGGTTTAAGAAAAGCCCTGACATTTTATCAGTTTCTCTCTCCTAAGCAGACGACATCGACCGGGAGAAGGAGGACAATGGCGATGACCGCGGTGGATGGCGGTGAGAATGAGCTGCTAGTCAAAACAAGGGAGACGTTCTGCAGAAAATAGACAGTAGCCATTGCTGGGGACGTGGAAAATAATATAGCCCACTCCTGAACAACCTCGGACTTTTCTATATCCTCGTTTTCAGATACCCCACCATTTTTTTTTTTTCCATTTTTTTAGGATTTATTCTGCCCGGCAGCTAACAGAATTTTGCGCTGATCAGTCAAGAAATAACATCAGAAATAGAATCAAGGCGGATTTTTCCCTCAAGAAAAAAACATTAACTCTTTGGGGCTCAGATGATAGTGGAATAGAAGAAGAAGAAGAAGAAGAAGAAGAAGAAGAAGAAGAAGAAGAAGAAGAAGAAAAAAAAAAAGAATGAAGATATGGAAAACGCTAAAGTGAAGATGAAAACAAAAGTCGGGAGAAAGAAGAAGAAAAAGAGAAAGAAATAGAAGAGTATGGAGAGAAAGAGAGTAAGAAAGAAAAATAATGAAAAAAGAAAATAAGTGAAAGAAGAAGAAGAAGTAAAAGAAGAAAAGTGGTGGGAAAAGAATAATAAAGAAGGGAAAAAATAAAAATAAAGAAATAATGGAGGAAAAAGAAAGCCAATAGAAAAAGAATAAAAAATGTAGAAAAAATGTAAAAACAAGAAAAAACGAAAAGAAAGCAGAAGAAGAAGAAGAAGAAGAAGAAAAAGAATGACGAAAAGGAAGAGAAAGAGAACAAGATGTAAGAAGAAAAAGGAAAAGAAACAAAAGAAAAAAGAATAAGAAAAAATAAGAAAAGTACAAGAAAGAAAAAAAACGAAAAAAACAACAAAAGAAAAAAGAATAAGCAAAACGTAGAAAAAAAGAAGAAAAAATAAAAAAAATAAAAATAAAAAGCTGAAAAAAAATGATAAAGAAAAAAAGAATAAAAATTGCATAAAGAAAATAAGAAAGAAAAAAAAATGAAAAACAAGCAATAAAAAAAAAAATATGAAACTAAAATAAACGAAGAAGAAAAAAAGAAAAAGTAACAGTAGAAAAAAATACATCCGGAGAAGGGATTGGAAGAAGAAAAATAGAAAGAAAAAAATTAAAGAAAAATTATTTTGTAATTGATTAATGTATTTTTTATGGGTTATCAACCCCTCATGGAGTATTAAAAGCCGAAATATATTTTGCATTGTAAGAATAATTCTGGTTATTTTTGCGAGTTAATAACACTTTTTTAGAATAGAAAAGATTTTTCCAGAACAAGTCCTACTATTTAATCCATATATCGGGAAACAAATGTATTCATAGTGTCATACAGGAAGAAAATGAATAACTACCGACACCGAGGTTCGAGCGTGACACTCTGAACTTATATGTTTTCACCCAGGTGTATAAATAGCGGTGTCAGGCTACTGACTGCGGTGATTATTGAGTGACTGTTGAGGGGGAACTATCCAGTCGAATTAGTGTGAATTATTGGACATCAATGATTTGGGTTTTAATTTAGAATTTACCGGACGTTAAGCCGAACCGCGCTACTAACAAGGGATTCACTGAAATGGTTAATAATCTTTGGTTGACTTTTACATCTTTGTTCTTGTTAAGTATTTATTTTCGGTTGTAATTAAATACTGTTTTATCTTAACATTGAAGTCTTGAGTTATACTTAATTATTAACAGCCATCGTATGTCACAAAACATAGCTTTCAGAAGGGTATTTGCGTGTAGGTGAATGTAACGAACCCAATTGGAATTCGAACTCGGTTCTCTGATTTCTCATTCGTTATCGTTATACCACTCGAACAAAGCAAGCAACAAAGAAAAAGAAGCGTCCTGGGTATGATGATAAACTACATCCGGCAGGAAGGTCTCTGATCGGGAGGTTTTGAACCATCTCTTAATTGCTGTTGTTCACAGGTCAATAATGACCCGGGGTGGTAGCACCTATTAGGGTCCTAGCTATGGGCAAATAATTAGCCACTGAACTGAGGTCAAAACACTATGGACGTATAGAAATACATTTTTATAGAAAAATACCACCAATTGATTTTAATTTAAACCTTTCTTTACAAAATTACGTCAATGAAACGTTTCTTAGAAAGAATACATTACATTTTCTGTTCATACGAACCTATTCTAAAAATCTTGATGGCATTAAATAACACATTGAAGTATTGATGTGCCGTAAAACAAAAATAAACCCAAACCCTGATCTACAAACTGATTTCTTAGAAAGAATTCATATTCTATTCATATGAACCTACCTTAAAAATCTTATCATTAAACAACCCATTTAGGTGTTGATGTGCCTTAAAACAAAATAATGCCAAACACTGATCTACAAACTGATTTCTTAGAAAGAATTCATATTCTATTCATATGAACCTATCCTAAAAATCTTGTCATTAAACAACCCATTGAGGTGTTGATGTACCTTAATACAAAATAAACCCAAACCCTGATCTACAAACTGATTTCTTAGAAAGAATTCATATTCTATTCATATGAACCTATTCTATAAATCTTGGCATTAAAGAACCCATTTTACCTATAGTTTTGGCGGGAAAAGATGGATTCTTGTCTTTACCAAGGG